CTTGCAGTTACAAAGCCAAGGAGAGAAATTCGTAGACCTACTCGATTTGTTGATATGGTGGCCTATGCTCTTCCAGTTGTTGATGATGATATCCCTATCACTTACCAAGAAGCAATACAAAGCTTGGAAAGTAATAAGTGGAAAAGTTCCATGGATGAAGAAATGCAATCTCTCCAAAAGAACAACACTTGGAAACTGGCATAATTACCGAAAGGTAAAAGAGCCATTGGATGCAAGTGGGTATTTGTAAAGAAAGATGAATCTCATAGCAAGAAAGGTGTTCGCTACAAGGAACGGTTAGTAGCTAAAGGTTACGCTCAAAAGGAGGGAATCGACTACAATGAAGTATTTTCCCCTGTTGTGAAGCATTCCTCCATTAGAATATTGTTGGCCTTGGTAGCACAGTTGAATTTGGAGCTAGCTCAACTTGATGTAAAGACAACTTTCTTGCACGGTGATTTAGAAGATGAGATCGATATGACTCAGCCAGAAGGATACAAATATGGTGGTTGTGAGAAATGGGTTTGTAAGCTAAACAAATCGCTATATGGATTGAAGCAATCTCCGAGGAAGTGGTACAAGCGATTTGATAGCTTTATGAGGAGGCAAAAGTATACTAGAAGCAAATATGATCATTGCGTGTATTTGTAAAAGCTCAAAGATGGATCTTTCATTTATCTTGTCTTGTACGTTGACGATATGTTGATCGCTTCGAAGAGTCAAAAGGAGATAGACACATTAAAGGCTCAGTTAAATCAAGAGTTTGAGATGAAAGATCTAGGTGAGGCCAAGAAGATTCTTGGTATGGAGATAAGCAGAGATAGACAGAGAGAGAATCTTTGTTTAACACAGAAGCAGTATCTGAGAAAGGTATTACAATGTTTTGGCATGAATGAAAATACCAAACATGTAAGTATCCCATTGGCTTATCATTTGAAACTTAGTTCTCAATTATCTCCTAAAACTAACGAAGAACGAGTGTATATGGCAAAAGTTCCATATGCTAATGCAGTTGGGAGCTTGATGTAAGCAATGGTGTGTACGCGTCCTGACATTTCACAAGCAGTTGGAGTTGTGAGCAGGTACATGCATGATCCTGGAGAAGGACATTGGCAAGCTGTGAAATGGATTCTACGGTATCTCCAACAAACCATGGATGTTGGTTTAGTTTTTGAACAGGATGAAGCACTTGGTCAGTGTGTGGTTGGATATGCTGATTCCGATTATGCTGGTGATTTGGATAAGCGTCGATCAACTACTGGGTATTATTTTACTCTTGCTAAAGCCCCAGTAAGTTGGAAGTCTACATTGCAATCTACGGTGGCTTTTTCTACTACAGAGGCAGAATACATAGCAGTTTCAGAGGCTGTAAAGGAAGCAATTAGGCTTAACGGGTTGATGGAAGACTTGGGAGTTGTTCAAAGTCACATTAGTCTCTATTGTGATAGTCAGAGAGCTATTCAATTAGCGAAAAATCAAGTATACCATTCAAGGACTAAGCATATCGACGTGAGGTATCACTTTGTGCGGGAAATCTTTGAAGAAGGAAAGATTCTACTTCAGAAAATTGCGACATCAGAAAATCCTGCAGATATGATGACCAAAGTGGTAACAGTAATCAAGTTCAATCATTGTTTGAACTTGATTAACATCCTGAAAGTATGAACACCTTCGGGTGTGTGGCGCTTGTGAGCGCAATTAGAGGCACTACAAATTTGGGGAGTTGAAGAAGTTGAGTAGGCTTGGTAATTTCAAGCCAATGTGGAGATTTGTCTAGAAATTAAGTTGACAAGTTGGAAATTTCATCTTGGTTGGTGGCCAACTTATTGGAAATTTCATCTTGGTTGGTGGCCAAACTTTGAACATGTGAATTTCATATTTTGTGGCTAACTTGTACACATTGGAAATTTTTTTGGCAGGTGGCCAAACTTTGAACATATTGTTCTTAAAACTCAACTATAAATAGACCTAAGTATTTCCATTAGAAATCGTCCCAAAAACAAGTTTTCTCTTCCTCTTGTATTCTTCATTCTCCCATTTTGGGAATTCTAAAGAATTCCATTTGTTGTAATATTGGCGATATAGTGAAGTTATCATCCGGTGTGGTGCCCTAGGAGTAGACGATATTCTCGTCGAACCTCGTAAATTTGGTGTGTTCTCTCATTTATTGTTTTTTATTCGGTTTTTCCATTGTGTTTCAATATCCAATAGTTTGACAGATTTATCCGCTGTGCAACCTTTGGTGGTTTTAATCTTGACATTTTAGGTCAATTTTGAAACTACGTTCGTGTGGGAAATAACCCGATTGGGAAATAACCCGAATTCCCCAACAGTAACTTTGCCGTCAGTTATGCCTTCCTATGAGAATCCCGGTGGTCGTCTACCGGAAACTATCTCGAATCTTGCTGTGAATCCAATGGGGGAACGACCTACCTTCCCCACCCCTTTGGAGTCCTCGCGACTGGTAAAGAAGGGTAGGATTGATTCTTCCATTAGTGAGGAGATGAAGGTTTGTGAAATAGGTAACGCTGAGACAGTTATGGCTGCTGATCCTGATATTATGAAGTTAAGTGTAGATGAGGCCAACGATGGTAAGGGAGAATCCAATCAACCTACTGTGACTAAGGCCTCGTATGCAAGTAAAATAGTTAATGGGGATCCTTCGAACGCTGATTTACCTCGGATGCAAGGATTCCTTCAGGAGGATGTGACGATCATGGCTGAGGACATTATTTTGGATCGTTCTGGAATGATTCCTTCTATTTAATTCTCCGATAGGGTTCATAATCAAATTGATGAAAACATGCGCAACGCGATATTTTGCGACTCTTGGGCAGGTTGATAGGATATAAGGTTTTTGATTCGCATGCTACAACTCTCTGGAAACCTATGGGGGAACTCCAGGTTATAGACCTGGATAACAACTATTTTCTGGTTCGATTCTCCAATGCGACTGACTACACGAAGGTTTTAACGGAAGGACCATGGACCATCTACGAGAATTATTTGACAGTGCAACCTTGGAGTAGGGGTTTTAGCACTTCTGAAAAGCACCCCTCTCAGGTGATTATCTGGGTTAGGTTACCTGAACTGTCGTTTCGTTATTACACAAAGTCTGTGTTCAGGCATATTGTCTGCTCATTGGCAAAGTAGTTAAGATTAATTATAATAAGGATGTTAGGGGACGAGGTAAGTTGGCTCGATTGTTGATCCTTGTTGATTTGAATAAACCTTTACTTTCTTGTGTCAGAATCGATGGTATGGTTCAGAAACTAGAGTGCGAGGGATTACATCAGGTGTACTTTGATTGTGGTGTTTACGGGCACTCGAAAGTGGAATGTAGTATGAACGTGAGTGGTGCAATGGTTACGGAAGGATCTAATAAGACTTCGGATCAGTCTGGCAATGATCATCAGGTCGAAATTTTTGAATCCAATCTGTTTGGGCCTTGGATGGTCGTCCAAGATAGGCGTAGAAGAGGAGGGGCAAGCCGCGCTATTGCTAGAGAAGATGCAAAGAGTTCTTTAGGTTCCCGTTATGGCAGCCTTGGGGTTGAAACGGTAGAGGAGGATCGGGGTACAACTGGTAGGAGATAATATAGATCAGCAGGTTGCTGGGGATTCAACGAAGGTAAGGAAGCAAAGTAATCCTGCCCAGTCCAACTCTAAGGAGGGTTTTAAAAATGCTGCTCATAAAGAATCTAACCCTGATAAAAAGGATAAGCCAAATAAAGGGTAGAAGCTGGTTGAAGTTGTCTCTATGAGCACTTCCGGAGAAGTCCAAGTTGTGGAACATAATGTGCTGTCAATGTCTGGTAACCATCGGGTGCTTCAAATCTCTGAGCCTGAACAGGCTGGGTCTTCCAAGGGAATTGGTAACCGACAACGTGATAAGCGAGTGGCAGGAAAAGAAAATGTGGTCCACATAAAACGTAATCTTCAGATTTGTCCTAGAATGGGTAACATGCTTGCTACTGATTTGATCCAGCAATTAACCATTGAACTGGATCGTTCTAATTCAGATCATGGACAGCAACGGAGGCGTGCGCTTGAAGAGTTGACTGAGGATTCTCCAATGCTCCATTCTTCTGATGAAGAGGATTTTGACGCGTTGGATTTCCATATGGATTTGGCCGAGGGTGAGGGCATCGGAAATGAGCTTTAAGGTTCGCCCTCAATCTTTTTTACTTATAATGAAGTTGATGTTTTGGAATTGCCAGAGTGCAACTAGCTTGGCATTTTGTGGTTTTTTTTGGACGGTTGTTCACGAACATCATCCTTCGATAGTTGCTTTATTTGAACCGAAGATCAGTGGTCTTACTGCTGATCAAACTGTGACTAAACTTGGCTTCAACCATTCTTTCTGTGTTGAGGCCCAGGATTTTAGTGGCGGTATTTGGTTACTCTGGAACGAAAAGGTGGAGGTGGATATTGTTCAAATTTCTAATCAATTTTTTAATACGCTGATTTATGTGAAGGATAGCGGGGTTCAATTCCAACTAACGGTTGTTTACGCTAGCCCTTCTAAGCCAAGGAGGAAGAATCTTTGGGGGCACTTGACCAATAGTAACCCAGGAGACGGTGTACTATGGATTATTGGCGGTGATTTTAATGTCATTTTGTCTGCAGATGAAAGACGAGGTGGTGCCTTGTTCCAAATTGCGGAAGTCGGGATTTTTCTAATATTTTGTTTATGAATAGTTTGTCGGATATGGGTTTTCATGGTCTTCCTTTTACCTAGTCAATGGGTAATCTGTATCAAAGACTTAATCGTTGTGTTGCTAACTTTACGTGGACTGCTAAGTTTTTTTTGGGGATAAATTTCTCTCTTATATTATCCAAGAAGCAGTAGAAACTCACTGCTACAGCAAAAAAACAGACATCCAAACCAGAAACAGCCTCCTAGGGAGTGCTAATCCCCCAAGGTAGACAAAGATTACAGTTAACAGCATTATTCTTAATAGCTATTCTAGCAGCTTTTATCCTAATTACATCATTAATTCAATTGATCACAACATCAGTTCCCCTATGTATCTTCCTAAACTGCCTATGATTCCTCTCTTCCCATATACAGTATATATATCCACACCAGGCTAATCTAAGAATAAACGAATAAAGAGTCTTACCTCTGAACCGAGATATCGCCCAGTCCATCTCCTCCTCCCAATTTCCCACAGGTCTATCAATGCTACACAACCGCATAACCCCTTCCCAAACAGCCTTCGAAAAAGGGCATTCAAAAAATATATGGCTGCGAGTCTCACATACAACATCACATAATCTGCATTTATCATTCACCTCAATCCTCAAACGAATCAACCTATCATCAGTAGGCAACCTATCAAGAACAGTCATCCAAGCAATGAGGGAGTGCTTGGGTATATGCATGGGGAACCATACAATCTTCTGCCACCCAACCTTCTCCTTCCTCCCCCTAAGACCCTGCCACAGCCATCGAGCATTAACCTTGCCCCAATCTGTGATTCCTACAAACAGAGGATATACTTCCTCCCTAGCTTTCAAAATTTTCCTCAAGCTCCAGCTGAACGAGGCTTTGCACTCCATAGACAAAAAATCAGCCCCTTTAAGAACACATGTCCTCACCCAAGCAACCCAAAGAGAGCCCTCAGCAGCAAAAATCTCCTTAACCAGCAGTATTATACAAGCCTTGTTCCAACTTTTCAAATTCTTAAGGCCCAGTCCCCCCTCTGATTTAAAGGTGCAAATTACCTCCCAACTCACCCGATCCCCCTTAGCTGGAACATCACCTCCATTCCAAAAGAACCTAACACAAAGCTGGTCCACTCTTTTAACCACTGCAGCAGGAAGAATAAGCTGCCTCCACCAAAAATTGGCAATACTGAACAAAACAGCTTTCACCAGTTGCAACCTGCCAGTATAACTCAGCCATCTATTAGACCAAAGTCCAAGCTTAGCTTTAATTTTCTCCACCAGATTAACACAATCCTTCTCAGTTAATTTCCTGGGGACAAGAGGTACTCCTAAGTATCTCACAGGGAGGCAGCCAATTTTGAATCCAGTAACCTCATGCACCAAAGCCTTCTGATTACCATTGACACCAGCAATAAAAATTTCAGTTTTGGAGGCATTAAGCCTCAGTCCAGATAACTCATAGAACCTTTCCAAAACACACTTCACCCCAACAATTAAGTCTAAATTTCCTTTGCAAAAGATAAGTAAATCATCAACAAAACATAAGTGAGTTAGGTTCACCTTTCTGCACTTAGGATGAAATTGAAAAATCTTTTCAGAGGCATCAATGTCAAGCAACTTGGAAAGGATGTTCATGACTATCACAAATAGGTAGGGGGACAGAGGATCCCCTGCCTAACTCCTCTACCACCTCTGAAGAACCCCACAAGGCTGCCATTCAATACAATGGAGAATCTAGAATCCATAACACAAGCCACTATCCAACTTATAAACTGCTTTGGCAACCCTAACCCCTTCAGAACAACAAGTAGGAATTTCCAACTTATAGAATCAAAAGCTTTCTGCAAACTCATCTGAATTTTTCCACTTCTCTTTAGTCGGCTTGGCTTGATAACTGCTCCTTGGATGTGAATATGCGTAACTTTCAGAATAAGGTGGACACTTGGAATAGGGAGGTTTTTGGAAACATTGTGAAGAAGAAGTGTAGACTTAGATCTCGTATACGAGGGGTTGATCGTGATCTGTCTAGAAGGCATTCAAGGTCTCTAAGTTCTCTTTCGCGGAAACTAAATCTTGAGCTAGAGGATGTCATGGACCAGGAGGAATCCCTCTGGCGTCAGAAAGCTTGTTCGCAATGGTTTTTACAAGGTGATCGTAACACCAAGTTTTTTCATACTTCGGTCGTTACTAGAGGCGTGTGAATCGTATCTCCACTCTCAGAAGAAGTAATAGAAGTTGGTGTACTGATACTGCCGATTTGACATCCTTAGCAACCGATTATTACAAGGAGTTATTTACTAGCTCTCTGGGTAGTAGACAACCTTTTCACGTGCGTGGTCGATACCCTCGCATGACTCGGAGGGATTGTGATAGATGTACCGATCCAGTTTCTAGTGATGAGATTCATTTGGCTTTGTTTGATGTATCATCGGGAAGCATACTAGTGGTTGACCTTAAACCAAACTAAATACACATTTATCGTTCAAAGCAATTGAACAGGGTTTGGCATCATTTTGGAGAAGACCAAAAGCTAGAACCAAACAAGAAAAAGTCACGATATTAGTAATTGATGACCACGTGAAGATGTCGGGTGCCTACACTAATGCTGGCAGAGGAAACAACCTCAACTGGCCACCATTAGTTCACGTAATCAACATTAACATCTAAATATCTGTATCAGACATAATTACTCTCATAGATTGTATCACATTCGCGGGTAAAATTTCATGTGGTGATGATTATTATCTCTTTGAGGAATCCAAAGTAAAAAAACAAGGCAAGATAGACATCATAGAGATTGTGCATTATATCTAACAAAGTCTTTCCATAACAAAGAAGTGTTGACATTCTGATACTTGCTTGTATGCCAACATATTTTTTCAAAAGAAGAAAAAATGCAAATCATTCACTCCTATAATGATTGGTGGTTCAATGAGGAAAATCGGGAAACAAAACGTACAACCGACAACGCTCCGGCAATGACAATGACGGGCCGAGGTTGGAAAAACTAAACGAACTCTCACAGACATAATAGGGGAGAACTTGGTAGGACAATATGATGACAATTTGTAAACAAAGCTTAACTTGTCAAACTGTGATGATAATGATGCTAAAAGAACAATTAATGGATTGAAACTGAAGATCTGGTAGGTAATGATGGAAAAGTGGAAATTCAAAGAGTTGTGTAAACGGCAAATTCTTTCATGCTAGCATTGCCTGCCTCTGCGGCAGGGAAGTGAACCAGCATTTATAGTCATGGCTCGAACCATGGAAGAAGACTTGGCACCCAAGCTCGAGGCCCTGGCGTAGCTAGCTGAGGCTCCAGCACCTGATGGAGTGAAATAGGCACCATTGACCAGCATGTCTCCTTCTGACCTCCAGTTCCAGTTCTTCCACTCACTTTCAGCTGTCTCAACTCTCTTGGTCACCTCCTTTGCAAATGGATCCATCGGAGCTGCATATCGGTTGCCCTGGCTGTTGATGGTAGGGTTTGCACTTCCACCAATTGCATACATTTCCCAGTGGGTGTAGTCATTGTTCACCACATGGAAATATCCATGCCTGCACCTTGGCATTCTCTGTACAAGTCCCTTCCCAAAATGGTTATAAGCAATAGTCACTTGCATCTGCTTGTCCCTTGTGTAGGAGTCGCTGTGGCCTAACAACATCACCTCATTGTGGTGGGTGAGGTGGTTGTTGGAGATGGTAATCGCTGTTGAGCCCATGACGGCATCGACCAGTCCGTCGGCACAATTGGAGAGAGAATTGTGATCAATCCAAATATGGCTGGAACCGAAGATGGAGATTGCATCGCCATCAGCCATCGTCCTCCACCCGAAGTGAGACGGTGAGCTTCTTACCATGGCGTTACCCGTAGGCTTACAGTCGTGGATGTGAAGGCCGTGGATAATCACATTGGTAACGAACTGGATCGTGATGCATGCCCCGTTGGCGATATGAACATTAGCTCCGCGACCATCGATTGTCTTAAAGCTGTTCATTATCAACTCCTGCTTCAACTTGATTACCATGTCGCTCTTGAACACGATCCAAAGAGGGTAGTCCTGGATCACAGCATGACGCAAGGTCCCGGGTTTGGGGTTAACAGGGTCGTCATCGGTGTGGTCGGTGACGACGTAGAAGCGTCCGTCACGCCCACCGATTGCATTCCTCCCGAAACCAATGCCGCATTGTCTTAAAGCTGTTCATTATCAACTCCTGCTTCAACTTGATTACCATGTCGCTCTTGAACACGATCCAAAGAGGGTAGTCCTGGATCACAGCATGACGCAAGGTCCCGGGTTTGGGGTTAACAGGGTCGTCATCGGTGTGGTCGGTGACGACGTAGAAGCGTCCGTCACGCCCACCGATTGCATTCCTCCCGAAACCAATGCCGCACTCGGCTAGTCTCTTGCGACGCTTATGCCAATTAGGGTCACAACGCCAACAGTCATCGATGGGGTTACCGGTTCCACATGAGAAGAACCCCAACTTCCTTCTTTCAGTCGCATTGCGAACATTCCTGTCGTTTTATGTAAATAAATTCAATTATATAGACTTATGTAGAGAAAAAAAAAGTAAAGTTAAAAGGACTCTGTTAGCATTTCTTTTTTTCTTTTTTTTTCAAAAATAATACTATGAACAAGAACATGCTTAAATCATAATTTGTCATGATTTATAACGAAATTATGAGCATTTATTAAATTTAACGATGAATGGTATCAGTAAATCATTGTCGGTGGGAGGAAATTAACCCCACCGAGGACAATAATCAGATCATAAAAAACAAATGTATGGTAGAACTTTTGTCAAATTCTGAGGACAAGAGAGTCACTTCGGATATAACGGCTACCTTCAAAAAAATTAAAAATAAAGTATGGGAAGAAACAAACAAACAAAAAACTAGAATTATAATTGGCCATGCATATAGACAGTGTAATTTTTTTCCCGTTGCCATAATTTTGTTTTCTTCAGAAATTATGCAATTAATCATAAATTTAGAAAATAACTTACTTTTAAGTAATTAAGTTGTGATCGTGGACTAGGCAATGTTAGATAAAATGCAGTAATGTATATGATCGTGTTATAAAATATAATAAAATAATGACAAAGTACACAAATGTTCCCTCGACTATATGATATTATTTTTTTGAGTTCTTTGACTATTAAAAGTTATAAAATTATCATTCGATTATACGGAATTGCTTTGTTAAGTTCATCGACTATTAAAAGTTACAAAATGATCATTGGACTATTCATTATGTTCCAAATTTGTCTTTCTCTATCAAAAAAATAACGGTTGTATGAACTGAACGTTAACATGTCGACTAAGATATGATAGTCACTTAGGATTATGACATCATATTTTATCATATCTCAGTTAGTATGTTAACATACAACTCAGACCATTGTAAAAAATTTAAGGAAAGAACGAGTATAAAACATAATGAATAGTCGGTGACATTTTGTAACTTTTAATAGTCGATGGACTCAACAAAGCAAATAGCGATAATCGGGGATCATTTTGTTATTTTTAATAGTCAATGAACTCAACAAAACAATATACTATAGTCCATGACCATTTGTATACTTTACCCATAAAATAAATAGATATATTAAAATTTAAAAAGATAAATTATTAAATGTGAAAAATCGAGTATAGCTCGAAAACGACATAGATGGATGAAAAAGGACTATTAAGATCCTGTTGCTTTAACTCAACTATAGTATATGAAAAATGATATTTGTGACGATGATGACAGAAAGAGAGGCGTGAGACACGGATCTTATCATATTGTTGTTACTTATAAATTAGAATGACTGTGCAGTTGAGTTAATTTACGTAGTAATAGTTATTACTGTAATAAAATGTTACTATCTCCCCTTCATGTTAATAATAGAACTCATACGTAATTTTTAATGTCAAGAGAGTAAAATTCTAAACTTTTACGGTGAAATAATTTTAAAAAGCTTGTGGATAAAAACATATTATTAATAAAAAAAACTTAAAATATACTAATTTAAAATTTAAAAAAAGATTTTCTTCACTCGCTCTTTTCAATCTATTTGTGATTAATGAATGTTAAATTTGGGTTAATTTTTGTGCGTAAAAAGATGATATTTTGGTTAAAAAAAGAGAGAGGCTTACATGTCAATGATGGTCTCGACCTCTGCAGCAGCAGCCTCTGGGTCAGCCACCGCGTGCTCATTCAATGGATCAACCTCTTCTGGCCTGTACCTGTGATTTTGTTCACATTTACATTTTTATGTCCAATGGTCAAAATATTTATCATTTTTATTTAATTATTTAAAGTCTTTTAAATTTTAGAATATAATATATTTAAATTATTTAATAATCTAACTGGTTATGGATAGAGTGATGTGTTGTTAAGCGTATAACAACAGTATATGTAATCATAAAGACAAAAGGTTGCTGCCCCCCAACACTTTCCAAAACCGTTAAAAAACGCTTTGCTGGAGAAAGAGAGAGAAACAGCGACGGCGGGGATTATGATAATGTCTAAAACGCCCTTCATCTTGCACCAATTGTTTCCTTTTATAGATCGAAAGGGGGCAATTTTAGTGAAACATTACTAGTTCCCGCTAACTAACAAAAGAAAACAAAGTAAACGGTT